AGGAACTTGGGCAGGAAATATTATTGTAATCAGCCTTGTTTTACTCACAAATGTACAAAATATGATCGAGGCAATTTTTGTGGACTCACTAAACGTCTTCTCATTCTTTTACGTATTGTATACATATTTATATTTAAAGCTTTCGTGACTGCAGGGATTCATATTCTTGGTTCTTTTGGTAAAGTCACGTAGAAGGGAAACAATAAAATAATAAAAATATAAAACAATAAAAATCTCAGAGAGAAAAAATAAAAATATAAAATACAAATCTGAGATTTTTATTTTTATATTTTTATTATTTTATTGTTTCCCTTCTACGTGACTTTACCGAAAGAACCAAGAATATGTATAGATATTGGTAAATAATGGCAAAAATTTCAGGATAATAGCTCTACTAGTTTTTTGCAATATTCCAGTGTGAAAGTGCCCCCCAAACACTGTCGTTAAATCAGATCATTGATCCCCCCTCAATGTTTAAATGGTCATTCTGACTGACAGAATTTAATTGAAAAAATGTATGTGGCCTGGTTCTACAGTACTAAAGCACAGAGGACCAAAGGAAAAACATGGAGACGGTGACGCTGAAAGGTCCTCCCCAATCTCTGGATGAATGACCCATCTATTAACTGCCTTTATTATAAAGACGTGAAAACTACAGCCCCTCCCTGATCTAAATACAAACCGATTTTCCCTGGAATGTTTTCTGATTATAGAGCAACATTCTGGTAAATACCTTACCTGGAATGCTCAATAGACTTATCCCCAGTTACTGAACTCATCTTATGTTTTATGTAGTGGCATGACTGCCTTCAGTTGTGGCAGCTATTCTCTATTCCAAGCAGTGTTACCTTGTGCAATTCCTCCGACATGCAATGGCCACTTTCAGCATTTTAGCAATGACACATTTCCATTGCCTTACCTGCTTTCATCTGCTTTACTGTTGTTTCAACCTCTAATCTGGTGACCTCTGGCTACAGGGTAGTCAGAATATGGTAATAAAAGTAGGTTGCTGGATTTTTCACATGTCATTTTTTTAGTGTTATCTTGTTATTCCAGTTTCCTCTGGTCAGCAATGCTCAGTCGAGCAATATAAACCTGCCTTGTCAGGAGTCCAATATCTTTCAAGGGGTTGTCTTATTTCCGTCCCTTGATAGCACTCTTCATATGTCCAGTCAAGTCAATGGTTTTTTTCTGTGCCTATTTGCCAAATAGTCCATTAGAGAAAGATGCAATAAAGTGAAATTCCAAATTTAATATTGTTTTTTTGTGTAGTCATTGAAGACTGAACTTGGTTTATTCATGAGCAGCTGAAAATCACGATAAAAATTAGAATATCAGTTGTGTTGCTTCTGTTTCAAACATCCACCAGGCACTTAGTCACATGGCCATATCTAAATGCATCATCTTTAATTGTGTGACTACCATGATCTCACAAAGAGACAAGCATCCAGTCTTACCAATCGGTTTTATTTTCATTATACCAGACAATTTTTGTCCCATCAATTTGTTCACTTATGATTGTGCGCAATAGTGTGCATGCATTTCCCTATTATAAATACAATACAATGAACAAGTAACTCGATTTGAGAACAACACTTGCACACTTCATAATTTCAGTATTGTATGGCGAATTTGCACATTAATAAAGAGAAAAGCAGTTTGAAAACTTTGGCAGGTTATTATTTTACACCATATACAAAGAAAACACAATTAGAGAAACAATACATGCAGCAACATCATGAATAAAGTTCAAATTATAAATTGACATTGCTATAATACAAACAGTTCAAAGGACGTTTCCCATGAACAATATATTAACACACATGCAATACTGTACATTAAGGCATTAAGTACAGCGAACCTACAAGGAAATTCAATTGACGACATTTGTATGAGGATCAAACATTTGGTTGGCACTTTATTGACCCAATATTAATCAGTCTAAGCTGACGGCCTACAACAAAGTGTTAGTAACAAACACGGAGGTAGTTGAGAACTTTGTAATCTCGGTAATAACGTAACATGGATCATTTAAGAAGAGAGGACAGGAGGTGTACTGCAATAACCTGGCAGATGTTTCATAGTCTAAATAAAAGCAATAATGTCAATAAGTTTGGAATCAAATCCTGCCTAAATGTATTCTAGATAAAATTAGGGAGAGGTTGCAAGAAGAGGGACGTGTGCAGGATAGGAGGGAAAGTTACACCGTCATTAGAATGGCACGAGGAGTGTGTCGCCAATGTAAAGACCTAAAGTCAGTTGTTGGGATACTTTGAGGAGACCTTGGATGTCAGGTTTTGATTGTTCAACAGCTGTGAGATCATGGAAAAGGAAGCAACGGTGAAGTGCAGTGGCAATGATCAGGATTAACTGTTTCCCTTCGTTAATGAAGCCACGTAAATTCCTTTTAGTATGGTTAACGAATATACATTACAACACTAAAGCACAAATGTTGTTAATTATGCTGGCCTAATAACACCAGCACAATTAAGTATGTTTGACACAACACTGTGTCGAATCTGGAGTTAATTAAATTTCCTTGCATTTTTGTTGTAACTATTCATACGAGCACTGGCGGAGCCGGGGGGGGGGGGGGGGGGGCACGGGCCCCCCCTCCCCCCAATGATCCGATCGAAATCCCTGATTTCGATCGGATCATTGGGGTTTATTAGTAATAAATCGGCATTTTGCGACCCCCACTGCCACTGTGTAGCATATTATTATGTGCCAGGGACTCCATGAGATGATAGGACAATAGTCTGAGTCCATAATTGGCGATAAGTAACGGCAAAGCAGTTATAAGTGACTCAGAATTGTGCGCAGTTGCGTATACAGTCCACGACTTCCCTGAAGGCATCGACACCTTCAGCGAGCGCGATGCCGATCACACACGATTCGAATTCGACCCTCGATCGATGGCTACGCCATCGACGTTCACGCGTCGAATAAAAAGCAAGGGACAAGTCTTTACTGACTAACAACTCCGCTATCATTTTTCATTGCTGGAGGGGTTACCCTCCCCCCCACCCCCGAACTGAAAATCCTGGCTCCGCCATTGCATACGAGACCCGCCTTATAGATATAACATGTTAAACGTCTGTGCAAATTGTACATCACTGTGCAATAAACTTTGAATCTTTTCACGCATCCTTTTGCAGAATCGTGTAAACAAAAATACCCTAAAAGATTACTCGACATCTGTGATGACCTCTGACCTGTACGTCAGAGAGTCATCACAAGAACGTAAACACAATGACCAGAAATGGCCTTCACCTCGCAACAGCAGCAATAGAATATGGCTCTGCCAGTGCCTGCACCCACTGGCTGATATGAGCTTAAAATTCCTGGGGTTGAACCATTACCTTGATCTGTGAACTTAGTGAACATTCATTTTGAAAGACATGAGTGGAAGGTATTTACCATTTCCCCAATCAGACACCTTACCCTTAGATAGTGGGAACGTATGCATTTCCCACCGGGCCAGTTTTCTAAGGATTGATTTCTACTACAAACACCTGGGAAATTCTGTGCAAAGTTACATTTACAATAATAGGTCCACTGTATTCCACTGTAATAACCTAAATCTCAAACCGGAGATTACCTGGAATTAGTAAGAGAGCACTTGGTATGTCAACAGTGATCACCCTATGGATAGAATGACCCCTGTCATGGGTATGTGGAATTTCCACTATGGAAACAGGGTTGCCAACAGAGATGAATGTATTCGCAGTGCTCCTTTAAGCAAGGAAACACTGACATTTTAAATTCGAATTTTGACTGAGCCATTGATCTAGGCGCTTAACAGCCTCTGGATGTATCACACACACTCAATACCCTCACCCCTTACCACCGCCCACAGATACATCTACACAAATCTTAAACATACACACGTGTATTGTTTACACCCCCCCCCCCCCACCCCCAGAAACATTTGTGAGTTGTATTACTAGAATCAAATGTGTTGCTCCTCTATTTAAAACTACATAACAGTACCATAACTTGGTATGTATGTCTGTATTTTTCCTTGCATCTCAGTTTTCACATTATTGACAGCATCATCTCTCTGAGCTTGTGGCTTTGGAAAATTCACTTTTACAGATTTGCATAGCATGTAAATTTCACTCCACGGGTGTACATTATGTATCAACAGGGCACATTACTATTATTAAAAATGGCATTTTTTTGCCACCTGCAATGGAATCCTATATTTTACGTCACTCAATTGTGATTTTACAATTCACTTGTTTTTATTTTACACAAAAAGTCATGGAAAATTGGTATTCTACTTCAAATGCCAAGTGGCAGTGCACATCTGCTTGTTTGCACCAATGATCCACTGGTATAAATTCCTCATGCCTATGGTGGAGGCCAGAATGGCTCCATATGGAAACCACCACCACCATTGCCTTCAAACAAAGAGATACTCATTTTATCGACCATGGAGGGATAAAGTGCTGGGCTGACTCATAACCATAATTCGAATAAGTAATCTTACAATTATATTCTTGGTTCTTTCGGTAAAGTCACGTGGTTTTCACACCTGATGATGATGATTGCTTGTGTTGCAGTCGAAACGTCGTGCTAATTTTATTGTTTTATATTTTTATTATTTTATTGTTTCCCTTCTACGTGACTTCACCGAAAGAACCAAGAATAGGAATCCCTGCAGTCACGAAAGCTTTAAATAAAAATTTAAATCTTACAATTGTGAGCATGGACTCTAACCATTGTGCCACCCAGCCCGCTATTTCTTTAACGTTGCCTACCAAGAGAAGCATTCAGGCTTAACAGGTCTCAATGTTCCTTGCCGTACCAAACAGTCACATGATGAACATCTAATAAGTCACATGAGTAAACTCATTTGGGTGGAGCAGTGGTCAGATAACTAATTTAACAGTAGGAAAGATTTGCGTTCAAATTCCAGATGGAGTTTAATTCGTCAATCACCCCTCTGCAGTCAATACAATTAGTACCACTCTGATGGAAAGCAACAAAGGTCCTTCTATGGAAAAATCGGCCCCCATAATAAATGTTGAGTTAGGCCAATGGCTCGAGGCTGCCATTGCAGATGAGCACTACCGCATGGTTTGTTGAGTAGAAAAGCATTTAGCCCTTTACTTGAAAAAAATTAATAAAGATGAACACATTTAATTTGACTAAAAAGTAACTTTATGGCATAGACAATGCTCACACCTCTACACAATGCCCTAGTAGTGTCTTTGACGCCACAAGTGTGTACCACCTTTGATGCTGTGAAGCACTCTTTTGTAGTGATTGTTTATGATTCGTTCATCATGTGCATCTGTCTATGCAATGCAGGTGTCCTGTGCATTCAGAAACGGCATATACAACTAGCTTGAAAAGGGAAAAAATGGCCAGTCTTCAAGATACTGGAAGCACATTGCACTGAATGAAAACCTTCATAATATTAGTTAGTTTTTGTAAAATTATTTTTTCAGTTAATCAATACAAATTATGAATTTGGTGTAACACAAGCAAACTAAGGATGTGTACACATCCACATCTGTGTTTTGCCATAGAAATAGTCAGTTATATTTTAACTTTTTCCAGTATATATGCTTTCCACATGATTGGGGCAATTTGTCACAAAGTTTTGAGTTTAAACCTTGGCCAGCATTGATTCGACCTATTGCCATCACCGGTCATTCTTAATAAAGCGGATTCACTCGGTGGCAAAACACAAGTGGATGTCCTATGGAGAGAATGGCCACAAGAATGTGGAATTTCCATCTGTGGCTCAGAACTGCTACTGGCGATGAGTGTCACCGAACACTCGGCAAGAGCAATTTGTGTTTTTGACTGCATGTACCTAGTATAATCCACAATATTATCCATTATGACAGTATATGTGATTTGATCACATAAGGGATCCGGCTGGATATTCGTATTGCTAAGAGCGATTGAGTCACAATTGGAAAGTTGTCGGTTCAATCCTGGCTAGGGATCAATACATCCCATCATCCCTCAAGTGTTGATAAAATAGTTACAACTTTTTTGAGAAGTCAACAGATGTGTTGAATAGAGGATTGTAGAATGGTATCCATTGGCTCAGGGCTGCACAAGGAGTTGAGCATTGTCTATTGTTCATTTGAACATGGAGATCATTTAACTTGACTTTGAATTTGTCATAAAATACATTATTTAGGAATAGTAAATATGTAAATCACTGGCTTGAATGATTTTTTCCAAAATATTTTAATTACAAATTCTAAAGCTTCCTACATCACTCACTAACCTTCCAATGTTTCAAATTATCAATAATACCACACCTATGGATGATTATTTTTTTTCAAAGAACACAGAACAAAAAAAAGTTAAGGAAAATATGGTTTTATGCATCAACTATGAATTTCTGACAAGACATTTCTCTACACAGTGGCTGTTGCTTGTGGGCCTGACTCTTTCTGACTTTCATCATCTCGGAGAGAACAGCCATGCCATTTGTCAGAAACTCAAAGACAAGGGATGTCCGAAATCCCCCTTTAAGTCACCAACAGCTCCCATAAATACCACGTCTAAAATGCTCAATGTCAGGAACAGTGTAAGATATAATTGTAGGCAGTGGTTTCAGGAAGTATCCATCCAGTGCAGATTTCGCCTTGGGTGCTGTAGTGAAAGAAGGCCTCCTGTTCACATCTCAGCCCTCATACATTGGTGGTCTATGAAAGGTACACAGACACGTGAAGTCGATGCAGCTAGTGCGAACTTGGAAGTCTCAAGGCGTAGCAATGCCTACCAGCGTCCCACCTGAACGCCGGGCAGTCTGTACACCACACGGCACCGCAAATCTGGCGGTAGCTCCATTAACAAGTGTCATCTTCCCAACCCCCCCCCCCACCTTCCTTTTACCATTCAAAAATTGTCGTCAGGGGCTGCTTGAGTACGGGAATTCAGGTATGGCTTGTGAAGGGCCCGTGTGCTCCTCGGGTCTGCAGTATCTCTGCATGGTCCTCAGCTCCCGTCTCATGCACTTGGGGCAGGCCACCGTGCTGCCCTTGCAGGCTTTGTGGAAAACGGCTTGGCATCGCTCGCACCTGCAAAAACACATTCTCTCAGCGTCCCTCTTGCTAACATTGACCACACCACGTGCAGGGAGAAACGCATCACTGCGGCGGTGGCAACAAGGCCTTTTATTTTCAGCCATCTGGCCTGGGGTAGTGCTGTGGTTGAAGCGCTCGAATTGCAGTGGAAGCGTCTCAAGCTGAAATCCCTGGAGGAGATTAGTACAACTTTGGGGGGGAAGTCAGCAGTCGTCATCCTCAAAAGTAACCTCCACCATTGCTAGAAGCATGTGGAATTTTCATTGCTGACTTGTGGCTACTAACAGAGATGCCCCAGTTGAGGATGGAGACGAGTATTCTTTTTTTAATTTGCACACATTTTTATGATTTAGAGTATTTGCGTGAGTTTACTCAGGACAGCCTCACCGAGTCTCAAGACTCATTTTCAGGAGGGTTCTGCCAAGTTTTCTCAGGAGGCGTGCAATGTGTTTATGAGTAATATCAGTTGAGTTATTTGCAGGTAACATTTGCCTAGCAAACAACTGGTCTTGTTTAATATGCAAATCAGTGATCTATATCTGTGCACATGAACATGCATTTAACATTGCATGTAAATGGTAGGAAATTGATACAAAAAAACATGCAATTTTAATTGACGGTGCAGTTATGCAGAAAGCACTTAAGTGCAGATAACTGCATATATAAAATAAAATGGCAGACAATATTTACTGGGAAATCTAAACTCTAACCATTTAATTACCATTATATCATGGTTCTCAGTGACAGTCTGCATCTGGGTATGGGCATACTGATGAGTCCTTATGTGGGAATAGTATCCAAAACTTCCATGCAAGGGAAAATAAAAAGAATGTATTTATAAAAAAGGTATGTTGCTTACAATATTGAATCACTGCTTGTTCATAGGTACAAAGGAAAAGTTACAACATACATTGGCCTATATTCTTGGTTCTTTCGGTATTTTCGTCTCCCCCCTCCTTTTTTCTGAACATAGATGGACTCGTCCATCTGAATAACTGCCAAATCGCTCTCCGTGGTGCTAACGTTAAAAAAACGCCACTTTTTTCAAATATTCTTGCTGTGGTTTTCACACCTGATGATGATTGCTTGTGTTGCAGTCGAAACGTCGTGAGAATTTTATTGTTTTATATTTGTACTCTTTTATTGTTTCCCTTCTACGTGACTTTACCGAAAGAACCAATAATATGAATCCCTGCAGTCACAAAAGCTTTAAATCAAAAAATACATTGGCCTACTTTTACAAATTGTTATGTAGGGCTTCAGTAATTCCCCAAAGTTGCTGAAGTAGGAGCTGAACTTCCAACTGTGTGCAAACTGGCTCAGTAGCACTTGCACTGAATGCTTCGGCTATACAACCCACTTCACCATTGCAAACTTTTCTTTATTAAATGCTTGATGGGATTGCTGAAAGTCAACAGATACACTTTAGTGTTGCTGAAAAAAATATACACAATCAATCCCCATTGCAGTTAATTTCACCAAGTTTGCTAAGTGTTAATCTTAGCACTCGGGTGCTGTCAACTTTTGAAACTTAGCACAGCCGTTGTCACGATTAAGAGTTTTTAAAGAGGCCAGCACCTTCTGATGACAGATTTACCGACATTCCTAATGCTAGTGTGACAAGTGCACACACACACACACACCCATTTGTGTGTGTGCATACATACTGCCCTGCGTGTAGGTATGTCACCTTAGCCAACACTTGCAAAATAGCCACGTACAAGCATACATGCGAGGCACTGGCATAAACTCACCAAGTTAACATTTAGGACTCGTGCGCTAACACAAAAGGACAAAGATTTCCCTCTTAGCTTTGGGGAAGAGCACCATGCATGCTCGGACACCTTTGTCTGACATTAACACACCACACTAACCCATGAGTTAACATTAAGTCAGTGAGAGGGAGGTCTAGATCAGATAACACTTGTCATTAATGTGCACAGCTGGGAATAAAAACTGCATGGCTGGGATCATAGGGCAGCAGTGGATGAACCACTATACTAATGCTCCTGATATATATACACACATACACACAAAGACAAAGATCCCCCGTGTAGCCTTAACAGACTGTAGGGGCAAGTGCTGTTAGCGAGCACCTATGAAGGCCGGCACGGCATACGAGGGGGTGGGTGGCCAACACCACGCCCGGCCGCCTTTGTCTCCCCAGTGGCAATGTTTACACATCGCACCAGGTACTCATTTGAGGCTGAGTCGACCTAGGGGAGGCCCAGGATCGGTTCAGATAATCGTGACTGGTGATGGCCGCGAGCGGGAATCGAACCAGAGTTGCCAGGTTCGTAGCGCAGCACGCTAACCGTGACACTACCGCTCCCCATACACACACACACACAAGACACACACACATGCATTGACAAACACACACGTACCCTTAAGAAGTTAGGACTATGTTTTCCCTGCATGGAATTTGTTGAACCATTTCCACTGGTTCAGTCCTGAATTCTCTGTTCACATTGGGTCACTTTCTTCTTGCCAATGCCAACCGGCATGACCAGATGGGGTCGTGCAAACAAACGGGCGAGTGTGGGGGAGGAGGGAGAAAGGGGGTGACAGAACGAGGGAGAGAAGGAATTGGCCACCTACGCCAAGGCTTGTAGGACCACACAATAGCCTTTGTTTTGCCTTGTTATTGTGGTAGTTAGCAACGGGTCTTAGCCTAATGGTTGTTCACACAATGGTGCCAAATTCAAAAGAGCACTCCCCAAACATGGGCAGCATTCAGGCAAGCATTGATTTATTCGTCTCCTTTATTTAACCAGGTTAGAGTCCATTGAATTACACAGTCTCCTAGGCCTTATGTTATATTAGGATGGCTATTATTATTGTTTTTTAAAAGTCAAAACGATACCCTTGATTATCTCAAATGATGGCCATAAGCTAGTGGTGGCAATTCCACATTAATATGGTAGAGGCCAGTCTCTCTGGAAGGACAGAAATGAACATGTTCTACCTGGTACACTTTGTATTGCCCACAAAGGGACGATGGTCTGAGTCAAAACTTGATGGGGAGCTTAACTTAGGCCTTCTGAATGTGAATGTTCTCTAAGTACAGTTTCATCTACTTTAATAATAAAAACAAATCTGATCTGCAGTCTATAATGTCACTTTATAGCAGATAGCACACATTGGTTACCAGGATACCATCATAGCAATTAAATCAATATCTCAATATATTGGCTTTGTCTCGACGTTGCTGATGTTAACACACAGTACCAGTCACTCATTTAAGGCTGAGTCAACCTAGGGCTGGCCCAATTGCCACTGAAGCGCAAAGGGTAAAATGCAGGATGCTGTGATCGCAGTACGAGCCACTGCGTCACTGACCTGTACATACGTACACATATACACATACGCCCAACCATACACATGACTTCAGTAGAAATGGAGAATAAAAACTGACAAGAGCAGAAAATAATAGATATTTGCTACCTAGTGATTTTTTTTTATATTCTTGGGTCTTTCGGTAAAGTCACGTAGATAGGTTCAAATCGAATAACAAAAATAACAAAAAACAAGCAATCGTCATCAGGACGATTGCTTGTGTTGCGATCGAAACGTCGTAGTTTTTGTTATTTTATTTGAACCTATCTACGTGACTTTACCACAAGACCCAAGAATATGAATTCCTGCAGTCACGAAAGCTTTAAGTCAAGATTTCTACTGATTTTTGTTCCAAGCATTGTTAACGAGCACCTAATAACATTTAAACTGCATAATTGTGCAAAATGTATCCAGTATCACTTCTAGCAGCCTTAGTCTCCTGTTTGGTAATGGTTACCACACCACACTAAATATGGATATTTTAGGCTAAAGATGACAGTGAAGACACAACACTACATTCATGTAAAATTAAACACGCTTAAATTTCCCTATGACATTGAATATCTGCCAGACTCACAATACGGTGATGTACAGAGCCACTGGACAGATGTGAGGGGATAAAGCCACGCACTTCGCAGGGACTGTGATTCAAAACTGGCTAGCTTGTAATACATTACAAAAATTGTATATTCAGATCCAGGTTCAGCAAATTAGCAGCGTCAGAGCTATACCCACCGAATGGTAGAAGACACCTCGAAGGGGTAGATGATTTCAGAGCTGTTGCAGATTTCACAGATGAAGCCCTTCTGGCTGCAGAGGCCACAGGAGTAGACGTGGTCGGATGCAAACTTGATGGTCTTGGCGAGGAATGGGGCGAACCGACCATCGATGACCTGAGGAGTGCAGCTTTGTGTTAAGCAAGGCCGCAAGCGAAACGTGAAGACAAAAAGAAACACGGCACGGCTATTTCTTGCGACCTCCACTGACCCACGTTCCGCCCAGTGTCCACTTTCCCATGTCAGCTGATCTATCTCCATTCAAATGCAAAAAAGGGATCATCGATTCATTTGTAAATTAGCTTACACACATTATCTGCTGATAAGGAGACACTGGATGCTTAGGTGGTGGTGAAAACAGGTGAAACAAAAACTGGTTGATTTTGGCAACCATATATTAAACTTTGCTTTGCTGACTCATAATCATTAGCATGGGCTGGCAATTGTGTGCAATGTCATATGCCAAGTTGTACATGCGAGCAAATAAATATAATTACATAAGCATTAACTTTTTAAATGTAACTGCAATCATCTAGGTCATCTTTTGCGAAAACGAAAATAAACATAATAAATTTTCACCATTGGCTTTGGGCCACCAACGAAGATAAACACTGGCCAATGTTACTTATGGCATAATATAGACATGTATAACCTATCACAAAATAATCTAATACTCATCAAATTTCGAATGCCAAGGAGGATTTTGAGCATGTATTGTGCTTGGATGGGTGACCACCATGCATAACAGGTTGTCATAGTGGTGCATGTCTGTATGGTGGCCAGCAGAGGGCAGTGCGGCAAAATGCATTGCATTGCCGTGCTCACTTGTCTATGCTCCCCACACCTTCATCAACCAGCACTGACCAGTTTGGTGAAGTATGGTGAAATAACCTCCACGACCTGAATGGTGTGCTGATGGTCCTCATCCACAACAGACTGAAATAAGGGCTTTACATGTGCACATGTACATACACCTTTATAAACTTTAGAGAATATATTAGTTTAGGGGATTACTGTATAGAAAACTGTAAAAAGATCTCGTCAACAATTGCCAAACATGCCATTTATGTGACAAGTGAACATGGCGTTGAGCGATAAATGAGAATGTATAATTGGTCCAAAAAGGCATGCAAACTACTGTACTGAACAAGCAACATATCTCATTTTCAGCCACATTTTGAAACATCTGCTCGTTCACAACAAAATGAAAACAACCCTGTCACAATTTACTCCATTCAAAGTCGTGTCAAAGTGTCTTCAAGCTCATACTTCTTGGTGGCCTTTTCCATGAGTGGAAGTCCACATTTCTATGGTAGGGGCCAGTATCACAAAAGGATTGCGCCATTGCCGAGTCTGCCGTCTACCCCTCTTGCCATCATTGTGGAAATATTTTAATTGGGCAGTGACACAGGCATGATGGTGCGATCCTGCACTCCGGTGCTTTGGACAAGAGGTTATGGATTGTATAAGGACCATGATGTGCATGAGACATCTGACCTACTTGTATGTGTTTTTTTTTACTCTTACCCCCCCCCCCCCCAAACATAACAGTTTTTTTCCTCTGGCAAATTCATGCATCACACATGCGACACATGATTTAATAAGTTGCCCAAAAATACCAAACCAACTCCCGATTCAAAAAGTGTCTTGAATCTCAGTGAGGCTTTCCTAGATAAGTAACGACTTAGTTAGTTCGCTTACTGATCAGCAAGCTAGCCCAAATGCTACTTTAGCTGACCGTACAATGTTTTCAAGTGAAAACCATGAAACGGACATTGAACATAGCTGTTAAACACTAATCATTGAAATGTACACCTGGAAAACTTTAAAAAAATTCCAAGAACCACAGAACCTTTGGGAAGGAGTCAATGTTCAAAATGCAACGTTTTACCATCCCGAGTTGAACCTGTATAGCTTGCCATCACATAGGGCCTAATCTCAAACTGTTGATAGCTAAGGGGTGGTACCTTAAGCTAAGCAACACATGTTAACTTTGAAATCAGGTAGAAGGCAGTCAAATTGTTTGGTAATAAGGCACCAAACAAACCCACAGTAGAGCCATGATCACTGGTAATAACCTCATACTTTTTCCACAATAACCACAGACTCGGCAAAGAATAAAGCCAGTGGCGATGGCACTAAAAAATCTGCTGCTAAATCTCCACAAAGCAGATGTCTCAGATTTGCAAGCCAAGTCAAAGTGTATCAGTGTTAAATTCAGCGTTTTGTGTTACTCATCTCTATTGGCAATCTTGAGCTAAAGTGAAAATTCCACATTGCCATGACAGGAGTCAGTCTCTGCAGAGGGTGACCACCATTAATTCCTCATAAAATTCTACTCATTTAAATCAACCCCAGAGGGGTGATGGATTAAGCTGACCCCCTATCTAACACACCTACCAACACAAACCCTTGTGTCCATCCGTTTTGTGGGGATGTTAAATGTGAGTCGAGCACTCTAACCAAAGCTTGGGAAATGGAATATAATTACAAAATGAGAATTGTAAACAGGACAACCCAAACAGAACAATCAATGCTTTGGCATGACAAAAGCTAATAAGGGCTGCTTTGATGTGGTAGCTTGTGTCGATGGATTGATTAAGGAAGGAAGCACTTTACATATTAATGTTAATTGTTTAACTGTTAAATAATGCATATCCTTGAATTTGAGATAATGAAAGACGAAATAATTACAACAGACAAAATAATTCAGGATTTCAGTGCAACCTACCAGTTCTCAAACTTCACCTCGAGCAGCGAAGACGCATACCAACACACATTTCCGTATACCACTACTTCATGTTGTGCTATCCGCTTCATGAAGTGCTCCACATAAGTTCCATGTTAACAGCTCTTACAGCATGGCATACTGTTATCAAAATAGCAGCTGGTGGCACCAAAAGGCTTAGACTAAAAAAATTATACAAATTTAAATAAAATAACCAAAAGAGTAATGGTGCAGGGCTTATCTTTATTAGCAACACTGAGTCAGTGATTACAATTACATGTTCCTATAGTTTCGACCGGTCCCCATGCAATAAGAACAGCCATGGGCACACAGTTCACCCAGCATTGCGTGTACTCAACTCTTGTCACGTTTATATTTTAATTAACGGTGTGGAGGGTCACTGAAATTGCTGTGACCATGGCTTTTAAAAACAAGCGGTAAGCTGAAATCAGATGTCATTCATCTACTGGAATTTTCCTCAGCTCCGTTTACCAAACGCTTAACCAGTCACGAACATGGGAGCGTGTTGTTTTAGTGTAAAAAAAAAAAATTGAACGATGACATGCTTCAATGGCGAGTCCTCATCAAGTTTCCTTACGCCTGCTTCAGCTTCCCAGCAGAGATGGAAAGAAAAATGAGCTAGCACGAGTTTGGAATGGACTTAAATGGTTACGCCTGTCATGAAACGTGTAGGCTGTCCCAATCACCCCTGTCCAGCTCAAGAGTGATTTAAAAAAAAGCATATTATGTATGGATATCTATCTATTAAGTCAACTTTGTTCACCTTCGTGGGTTTGAGACCAGGTCGTCGGTATGCAGTTAGGCGGAGAGTGCTTATAACTGGAGCTTATGCTGTCAAACAATGTCTGCGCTCATTAAAATAACACACAGCACTGTGAGCTAATTCCCATGTTATGCTATAATGTGGGGGGGGAACATAACCGGTGACTCTGTAGCAGATCAACGGATTACAACAGGCAGTTTGGGATGCATTTATGTCAGAATCACTGTACTTGCCTCAAAATCCATGAACGGTGGTAAGGTCAACCTCCTGTATCTATCATTGCCGCCATCCATACTTTAGAGCAGTGGCACATACAACTGCCTAAGCACCTGTGCAAGCGAGCCCGTCACGGCACTGCTGCTGTCCTTATCGGCCGGAAGGCAGCGACAAGAGCCCGCATGGCACTGTAACTGAGGGACAAGAGCTGTTTAATAAACTGTGTTGGTTTTTTTCTGCCGGATTTGCAATTAAAAGGTCAGCTTTCACAACAAAGAACTGTACGGCAGGCAGGGCACACGTGCAACTCTGACACGGGCCCGAATGACTGCTATGCTAAGGCTTGGCGGCTCACATATAATGAGAGGGCATGGCTGTCATAAGCAAATAACTGGTTACCTGTGGCTTTGCCACTTTAAATTGGTTTCCTGAGTCTTTGGCAATACCACTGACCCATAAGAATCCCGAAGGTGCCTTAATCTGGCTCTCAGCCCTGGTTAAAAACAGGAAGCCCTAAAAATCCTAAATGCCTTTAGTTTGATAAGATGCAGGAGTTAATAATGAATTCTAAAAATCATAAAGAAATGCCATAGTCTGAATCCTAAATATGCCCTTAGACTTTGGCTTGTTGCGACATGGGGATTTTATGATACATAGTAAAATGTAGCATTTTCGCCTTTTCAAAGTATAGTCATAAGATGATTACTGTTACTTTATATTTCATATTTTATTTCCTGAAAAAAAATACATTCATGAAATAACATTCAATAACTGAATGTAAATAGTTATTGATAGCTATTTAAACTTAATTTGTACTGGAAGCATAGCAAAGGGCACAATGATAAAATAAACATGTTAAGTACAATTACGAAGTTATGGGAAAGTTAGTGATAAACGCCATATCAGAAAATTGTATATTGTATTGTGAAAAGTGATATTGAGGCAAACCTACTTATACCAATCTTCTATACTTCAGCAACCGTTAATCTCAAGAGTGAAGCAATGTCAATGGTAATCCTTTTGTTCTCCTAATAAACTCAGTGCGTGGCCCTTCAACGCTAATTTGCCAAGACATGAGATGCTATTTTGAGTCATGGTTACTATAATTACCCATCCTACTTGGAGGTGGTGATGGAGATTATTATCGTCGGTAAGCTGCGCCATGTGATATGAAATCATCAGCGGTTGTATAATTGGTTAACCGAGTCCCGCCATAATAATACGAAATTTCCGCCAATTGCTCAAGACCACCAACAAGGATGAGCAGATCATTTGAGCATGGGGGAACATTTGAGTGTGGAGGAAATTCTACTTTGATGTTTTTGTGTATGTAATTACTTTCTTGTTTTTGTGTTTACACATTTTTAATAGCCATATTACCTTCAAAGTTTGCGAATTTCATACCAGGCACACAATTACACGCTTTTCCTCTTTCCCATCGACACAAGAGTATCTTTCCAAAGAACTCTGTTCCAAATTCTGAATTGTATTATTCCTGGTCTCCTTCAAAATAATGGCACAGTATAAAAAAACTTACCTGTTTAAAAATGAGTGACAATCATGACGATATTTACTAAAACAAACTTTTATCGCATACATTTTTAAATACTAGACAGAACGTCATGTATACAAGTCCTTTGAAGTCAAGGATCTTTGGTTACAAATATACCATAGGTTATGATCATTAGAGTTTAAACAAAAACAACTTTCAAAACCGTTTTACACACTCACTATAGCTGTGCATATCGAAGTTCTTTGAAGTCAAGGGTTCTTGGTTTTCCCAAAACATAACCATTTCCAAGTAATTCTCACCGAGGGATTAGTCAGGACAGCACAAAGGCTGCTCATCGGCCCTTTCTGGCCACTGCACATGAGCAGTATTACCAGAAAATCCAGTTCCATTTGAGTGCTGGTTAACACACGCAACATAGAATGCGCTTTCAAATATTCAAGGATTGTTAACAGTAACCCAATTTTACCTCCGTCTTAAATTGGACAATAACCCGCTTTATGTGTTTGTGGTGCATCAGTAAACGAGAGCAATTTTGAAAAGGAACATGCAAAGGATGTTTGTGTAGCCAACCGTGCTAATCGGAGGTGCGAGGAATGACAAACTGAACACAAAAAGCAATTCAAGAAATTCGTTTTCAATCTAGATTTAAAACTGCATAGCACTGGTGGCTTCCTTATATCGGAAGGATGTGCATTCCAGACGGCCATAGCAGTGGATCTGAAAGCGCGCACTGCGTTAACCGTCTTTGTTCGTTGACTACAAGCCATTTAAATACAAATATGCACCAGCAGCCGAGCTTGAATTCTGGATTTTAATTGGATGTCACGGTATGCTATCAGTTCAGTACTCATCTGGAAGTCCCATTAGTCAAAGGGTTAAATACGAATGAATTTTGTCAACTAAACAAACCCATTGAGATATATTGATCATTTTTATTTTCAACTTGACTGTTGGTTGTTGTTTTGGAATTTACTATGGAACATCAGCCAAAGTGCACATCCATCTCAATCACATTCCACTATTTTGTTTGGACAAGCTGAAGATTAATGTTGTGCACAATCCCTTTCTTTTTCATACTTCTTTCTGCTGTGCAAGCTTCAGTTGGGATGTGTGAGCAAAGAATTTGCAAAGTGTTATAAAGAAATGACCCACTGCTTGTTCTGGGCTCGTCCATGCAGGGCTGTCCCCACTTATTTGTCGGACAGCGCATTCTGCCAGCATAGATGCCGGGGGGTGCTTTAATGCAAGCTCAGAGCGCTTGGCTAGAATTCTAGATTTAAAGCTTTCGTGACTGCTAGGATCCATACTCTTTGGTTCTATTGGGTAAAGTCACGTAGGTGAAAATAAAATAACAAAAAATCACGACGTTTCAGCCACAACACAAGCGGCCTTCATCAGGTGAAGGGACGAGACTGTCTGGAGGACAGCGCTGGTGGCTTCCTTATATCCTCCAGACAGTCTCGTCCCTTCACCTGATGAAGGCCGCTTGTGTTGTGGCCGAAACGTCGTGATTTTTTGTTATTTTATTTTCACCTACGTGACTTTACCCAATAGAACCAAAGAGTACGCTTGGATAGAGCCGATTTATTTCTGAAAATGGCTTGGTGAATACCCAATTAATATATTATATAAGTTCAATATACATACATACATGTTGGTGGCATCTGCCCATTAAATTCTGGTTAAAGGTGTGCAGTACACAACATCCGCATGATGTTGCTATCACATAATAGCATGCATGATATGGCTTGCTCTTGTTTGTCCCGCAGTCCCAATTGGAGAACTTCAGGCTCAAGATTAATTGGAAGATCGAGTCAGATGGGTTCCCTGTAACCTGCGAATCACTGCCGTCATTGCTCAAATCAATGCCGTCATTGCTCAAACCAATCACGTCAAAAGTTCTAGCCACATCGCAGGCATCTGTATTAAAATTCTACAAATCACAAACATATAGACAGTAAAATTACCACGCAAGTTGCAAGCTATACCAGCATGTTACCCACATATTTTGTGGTATTAACTACTATGTTCTGAAAAACCCTGCAAGAATTGATGTTGCTGATATATATATTTCATCAGCTGATCCAGGGTTGCAAAATTATCTCTGTGGCCCGCCAAGCTGACATCCAAAGTGCTGATTACAGTTGTCAATTGTATGCATCTGTTCAAATGTAGGATTACTTGACATGTTTTTTTTTTCAAGAGGAATTTAATATTAATACCGAAAAATACTATCTTGATGAAACAAATAAAGAATGGTTTTGAATGCTTATTATATAACTTATATTTGATTTAAACATGGTGGTCATGAGATGGCAGTTTTGAGTAATTCCTCGAAATTGTGGGCTTTGAATACTCAGGCTTTTCTGGGTAAATAATTTACACTATTATCATATTTTAATTTTAATTACCATAATTATATAATGTAATTAAAGCTATGCGTGTATATACAGATGCACCATGTCTTTTCGAAATTAAGACCTAGATTTGGGGAAAGCACAGTGGGGTTGAAAATTCATTTTTACAATTTAGCTGCAATATGAATTTTATAGGAGGTGATTGGATAGATCTGTCCTGAGCTGGCACCGCTGAGATCCTGGGTTTGAATCTGAGCAGCTATCTGTTATTTCAACTGGGTTCTTACATTTAGCATCATGTTAAAGTTGATTATGCACTTTTGCTAAATTCCATCACTTAGAATATAGGTTGGCTACGTAAGGTATGAAAGAAGTTCAATATACATACATGTGGCGATGTCAGAGCAAACGTGTATGAGACAGTGCACTTCCTACTGTGTAAAAAAACAATGCTTAGGATTCGAGAAATACCTCTTTCGTAGGCTCTTCTGACACTGCCCTGTGCGATCTACAATTTGATTCTTGTCTCATGCAAAAATGCCAATAGCACAATTAGATTTGGGGAAATAAGATAATACAACTGTAAAAAACTGACGTTATAAAACACGGGCTTTCTCTTTCAAACACCTATGCATGTATTTTACTTCCACTTTCAACAAACAATAAGACGTTGCATGTGTTTGCTGTTACGGATGACAACATTGGAAATGGGTGAACTTTGTTTCCTGGTTGACTGGGGCTCTGTAGCTGCTGCTACTACACATCAAGTGAATTTTCTGAGTGCAGAGCCTAAAAAAAAGACCCTGTGTGTACTTAGAGAATAACCGCACCAATCGGGTGGAAGAAACAAGGCTTTTAGTTTGAGTGGGCTAATCAATGTGCTCCCTTTGAATGGTGCTAAAATCAACTTGGTAAAAACCGTGCATTTACTCCTTAATCTCCTTTGCCCTGGCAGCCTTTGTTCAAATATTGACACCATTAACGCTAAAACCGCCGCTGGTGGATTAAGTCCAATCCACGGCCAATTTAATTTGAAAGCATTTTAAGATTTACATTTGCTAATCTCCTCCATTTACCTCGGAGGACATTCACTTAGAAACAATCTAATCCCAAATGTAAACGAGGAGAAATTGGTGTGGGATAGCACTTGAAAAACGTATCAGACTATAACCTCCTCATGTATGTATGTAGAACTTCTTTCGCACCATATTTAGCCAACCATACTAATCATAAAGCATTATAACTGAAAAAATATATAATAGGCAACAGCATAACTCGACAGAAATATCACTTCTTTGGCACAGGGGTAAAAGGCAGCCATACCGATAATGGCTGACTTAAGAGCTGGAGGGAGCATATTGCTCTTAGGATATTTTAATCAAGTCGATCTGAATAAAACTAAAATTAATAGATAATCGTGGAAACGAAATCTATTGAAATAGTGACAACATGACGTTACATTTTAAGTCAACAAATAGACCAATTTAAAAGTGAAAAGCTGCATAAAAAGGAGGTTAAAACCAATTAAAATGTAAAAGCGGAGACGTTCTGTCTATATAAATGAGCTTGGGGTGGTGGCTCGTATTCATTGGTGACCAGGGCAACGGTGGAAATTTCACATTTGCACGATGAGGGCACATTTCTCAATCGGACAAGCACTAATGCAGTTCAATACTTAATGGTACACACATTTGATTCTATTAACGAGTGGCTCATCGCACTTGTGATACTTTTCAAATGTATTAATAGGGGGGGGGTGGGTTGTTAAAGACGCCCTTTAGGGTCTGTAAACCTCTTGTACACTTCGCAGCAGTGACATTAAAGTGGGCACCTGTACATTTCATTGTGGAGAGGAAAAGGTGGTTGTCATTACCTGTTGGAGGTCTGTGATGGAGTACAGGTGCATGTGCGCCAGCAGATACTCCCTCGGCAAAACCCTGGGAACAGAGAATTTCACATGTGAATGAATACCCCGACTCATTCTTGACTCATGACTGATATTCTACCGAGAAATGATTGTGTGATGATAAATGATGAAATGAGTTGCACGATAATTTTAGACAGTCCAGCTGACCCAATGGCATTGTGTTCAGAGCACTCAAATCACAATCAGAAGGTTGCTAGTACAAATCCTGGTTTTGTGTCAACTCAGGCCGTCATACCTCCAGGGCCAATGAAAAGACTAATACTTTGTGGCACTCTACAGCGCCACCTGGCTAAATCGCTCAATTTCAGCATTGTCTTGAAGCTGTTTTCTACGCCTTCTCAATGTATCAAACATTTTTCTACTTTACAAATATGATGTTAATGATAAAGTCACACACATTGTGGAATAGTCTTTATTATTAGAATATCAATCAAAAGAAGATTTAGGATTTTAGCCTAAAACCATGATACCAATTCAAAGTAGCATTTGCTTGTTTTGTAAAGTAAGATCATACTGGACTTTTATTAACTAATTTTAGTTATGACTGTATAATTGTTTCACATTTATTTCAAGTTTGTGTAGATTGTGGGCATTAATTAACCCCAGAATTGAGTAGATTTGACATTCAAGTCCAAGTGTTTTCCTGCTCAAATGAGCATTGGGTGGTGCCAATCTCAGTTGGCCATCATGAGCCGATGGTATAAATTTTACCTTCTAATGGTATTCATTTTATCAATCCAAGAGGAATTGTGGGTTGAGTTGTTCTACGAACCAGGATATGAGCCCATGACCTTTCACTTGTAAGTCAAGCACTATCATGGTGCTACCTGGCCATATTACATGAGTTATCATGATCTAAATATGCTTGTTGAGATAATATTATTAATTATGTTTAAGTATCCTGGCACGCCTCACAGAACCTCAGTTATTTTCAGGCTTGGGAGTTTAAAATATTTTCACATCAACCCCAGTTTTTATGTAAACCAATGCTATTGCAGGTCAGAACTTGCGCCTTTTCTAAACTACATTGTCATCCATGAGCATCCTTACAAGTTTACGCACCGCCAGAATTTGAACTACCCCACGTACTGCCAATCCCACTGGATTACTGTAATTGAATAATTTGAGTGTTTTATCTTTATCATTGGTGTTTATCATAGTTTATGAATACCCACAAGACATCTCCCTGGTATTATTTTGGTATGTTCATCACAATGGTATTAGGGCTGATGTCTTGGGGGATTTTGTCTAGGCTGCAACTTGAAGGCACTGTTTACAAAGGTCTAATAAGCAGTGACATCCCAGTGTGTATTAGCTGTGCTATCAGGGTCCTTAATAGGCTATGCTGCCCATTTTCACCAGCAAATCTAATAGCGGAAAATTGCATTTCATACAGCAGTGAATCTAAAGGAGAATTCAATTAAATGAGACTTTGCTGCTCATTAAGAAAATGCAACAGTCAGAGATTAAGAAACAAAGTGTATTGCCATTTACATATATTTTCATTTCACCCATGTGAAAACCCATTCCAGACTAATCTCTGTTACAAGATAAACGGGGGATAAAATAACAGATAATCAAATATTTTGGAATGCTGTATTAAATAGGTTACATCAAAAGTCAAACGGCCAGATTCACATCTGGATGAAAAGGTAAAAATACATTACTTTGGCAATGTGCCTCATTGTTGAAAATGAAAACATCAACAATTGTTTTTTTGTAATTGGGCAACGCATGAATTGGGCACAAGGTGTCTCTATACTCAAGTGAGCATAGGCTGGTGTTCTACTTCCTATGGCAGGAACTAGTATATGAATAGGCCAATGTTAACTTCTAAAAAAAGTTGTGAAAATTTACCCACCCCAGAGGGACCTTGAAATCCTCGATTGGGATTTCAACTTATGACCTCTCACTTTTCAGTTGCGTGCTCTAACCACAGCGTATCCCGGGCGGATAAGAACAGATAAGGCCATTCACAATAACATACCGATGCAAATTGTATGTTTATGTTTTGGTACTGCTAGCTTTAATCAGACACATCGACAATATTTTCCACAAGTTTGAGACAGCCTAAAATAGGATGTTGTGAATATGATTGAAAAAAGAACGTGTCTTTCCAATGGGACACGCACTTCTGTCGTTACGCAAGCGAGACTGCGTGTGTCCAGACACACCTAGAAGCAAAACAAGTGTCACAGGATTAAGGCCCTTCAAACAAAACATCCTGTTTAAAAGAACTGTCCCCTATTCTGCAGCGCTAAACAGGTGTGAATGAACAGGAAGGCACATTAGTAAACACAATAGCAATCACGGCTCCTTGTGTCTGCATGGTTAGAGGCTTAGCAGAAACATGGGTTAGATTACATTATCACTGCAGGAAGTGTGACCTGGCTAAGGGGGGCTGAGGGCTTATGGCTGCTGCTGCCTCTGCATTGCACTCAGGGATATAGCAGGCCTTGCCAAATGCAGTGACATGGTTATGTTGTCCCTCTGTCTTAAATGTCTTTTTCACACCTCCGATTAGCGCGGTTGGCTATGTACGGTGCGAAAAAAGTTCAACATACATACAAATGTGGATTTGCAGGCATGGTGACATATACATGTATTCCAGGCATGGTGGCACATGCCGATAATCCAGTGCTCTAGAAGAGAGGTTGGTGGATGGTAAAAAATCAGTTCAGCAAGCATGTTGTTGCTATACCCGTTTGGACTTTGTGTCATCACCTCGCGTCTGTCGATTTTCTGTACGTACTCCAGTTTTCTCCCAAACATACTTACAAGAATGTTCAAATTAAAACAATTTAATCAGGAAACGTCTACAAAACACACTCGGTAAGGCTTTTCTGGGCAAATAAATGACTCGTATTATTGCTACTTTTCCAGGGAATATTGTTTGAGCCGGTGGGAAACAAAACTCCCATCTTGTGTAATGAATGGGGGTAAAGACACAGTCACACAAGGCTCATCACAGAAAGTCCCTCCAGCCTCTGGTACACGTGATACACGGCTGTAGTTGAGGGCACAAGGCAGGCATTCATGACCGTATTAATACACAGAGTGAGTGTGTAATGTGATCAAAGTAAGGAGCCAACAGCACCCCACTCCGAAACACAAGGTTTCAGGTACTTATGCAAAAGCCTAAAATGAAGTACAATTCCAACTATGCCATATATTAAAATAAAAAATGTAGTTCTTAATTTTAACCTCATGGCGGGACACCGGGGTCCCATAGGCCCCCGGCTCTCGCATAAACATATCATAATGTAAACAAAATCTTTGCTCCTTTTCACCGATGGGTTTGAAGGATGGTGGCAAGTGTTGTCTTGTTAAACTACGCCATTAAAACTGAAAACTACTTACCTGCAGTACCTCTATTTAAATACACTTTCGAAAAAATTATTTACACCCTTCTGTCAATCATCGTGTTTCTCAGTGTGGATTTGTGAACACCACTTTGTAAACGGTACGTAAAATAGTAAGCGTTTTCAATGCGCTGTTCATATTGTAACAAGCATTTATACCAATGTTACTCTGCAGTGTAGTGGGTCGCCACTCCTCTTATCCGCATTGATACGAGCGGTATGTGGGGACTATGGCTTAACCGCAAAAAAAAAAACTATCTGCACAGATGCATACGGACAAGGGAAGTATTATTAAACAGAAGGAATCTCATCTGTTAAACATCTGCAGGTAATAGGATTGTCATCGTTTGATCCTGGCTGCAGACATTGGTAGGTCACAAATAATAATGAAGATAAGAGAGCAGTTTAACTGTATTATGCATCCTGTAATGACAAATAAATGACTCAAGTAATTTAGGCAGTTTGAGCAGCTTTGGATCAGACTTATGATCCTGCCCATACCCGAGCATGGAGTGCATTCGCTTATTCAGCTCTTCTGTGTATTCGTCCTCGCTGCGCTTGGACGACATGACAACAGAATGATCCGCGCCAGGTGGGTCGCGGTGGGACAGAGTCGCCAAAAACAAATATATTTATTACGATTTTGACTCCCGTTTATTCGGGGCCTCGGGGTCCCGTCATACAGTTCATTTATAGAAAAAAAGCCTCGTGGGGTCTAAAGATTGTTGCAAAAGATGCTGCATTGGGATGTTTGAAATAATATTACATTTTATTACTTTGCATTTAACACTCAAGGTCCAATAGGGTCTGGACCTGTGGCTAAAACACCGATAATAACAGTCAAAAGGGTAGGAAGTTCAAATCCTGGACAGATGATTAATGATTCAGCCCATTATCTAACTGTGCAGAATTAACATTGGTCATCCTATGGAAAGACTGGCTCCTGCCATGAGTTATGTGGAATGTATACCACTGTCTCAACATAGCCGATGGAGATTTAGTGCCACCCAAGTTCAACTGAGTAGGGAGATACTTTACCTTTATTAACTATGACGATACTAAATTAATCTGAGGGATTGTGCTCGTGATGATAAACAAGGTAAAATGTATCTATGCAACTGTGATTTCAAAACCCCGATGAATACATTGGCAAATAAACACACGTAAGGCTGGTTGAACACAAGGAGAGTTCATTTAATATAACACTACAAGTTCAACTGCAGCACGTAAAATAGTATCACGCTATATTCTTAGTTCTTTCAGTAAAGTCACATATATAAAACAATATATTTTATTATTTTGTTGTTTCCCTTCAACGTGACTTTACCGAAAGAACTAAGAATATGAATTACTGCAGTCACGAAAGCTTTAAATCAAAATTTAGTATCACGCTGTTTAAAATTACTAGTGGTTGTCCTGTGAAGATTGATTCCTACTACAGCTTCAAATGTGGAATTCACACCACTGGCTCAGGTTTACCAAGGGAGATGAGCACTGCCCCAAGCTTGTTTGAGCAGGGAGCTGCTCTGATTTATGCGACTTGAAAGATGTATTAACATTAAAACAAAGGCAGTTGTGTCAGTCAGTGTAAACCTGCTAAAAACAAGCAGTGGGGTGGCACTCATGTCTGCTGACAGCCGAGTCAGTGGTGGAAATTCCATATTCTGTTGATTTGCCATAATGTGGAACAATTTTTTGGACCCTGGAAGGATCACTGTGGGCTGAGTCAAGCCATAATTTAGATTTGAACTCGCAACTTTCTGATTTTGAGTCCTTAGTGACCATGGGTTATTGATTATACGAATTATATTTACAATAATTTAAATTACTTATCTCAGAAAGCCCAATTGAATCTAAAGCCTTTTATGATGGTTCCGCACAGGGCCCTTTTTCAAATGTGTGTTTTAATGAATGTTTGGCATGCTGGAAGAAACCAGAGTGCCTGAAGAAATGTATACATAAGGAGAAAACAATCAATGGCCTGGAAAGATAGGCCAGGAATCCTCTTTCTTTACTTATCTCATGACTACCTCTCTGCCCAGCGGGGGATTTTCACCATCTGTGATCCAAGGCAAAGGATTAGACACATGGTTCCACCACACCCTTGATGCTAAGAGTGCCGGATGAAGGTGAATTTTGTACGAGTGGGTTGTGGAGTGCCCCTGACCTTCGCCTGAGCTCGTCTGCTACGATGGAGCGGCAGGTGAAGAGGTAGGCCCGCAGTGACTTGAGTTGCTGTCTCATGGTTCGCAAGGATGCCAGCTCAGCCACATGCTTATAGAGCTTAGGGTTCACCTCGCTCACGTCCAGCAGTGGCTCCTCCGCTATGTATTCCAAGAACTCCTTGGCCTGCTTTGCCACCTGCGCATTCACAGGATCAAACAAGCGCAGGGGCACATGTGAGTGTACTGTACAAGTGCTTTTGTAGGCATGGGTATCGCTGTGGTGAGAGGTCTACCCGGAATTATGAAAATGAAACCACTGGTTGTATCTAATTGCACTGCTCAGAATGACAGCATATAACACTGAAGGGGACGAATGCTAACTCGATGTAAGGCTACTGGAGATGAAGGGAAATACAGAGGTAGTCGATCCATGACATCTGGGTGCCGAGACAGGAGGGTGATTGATGCTGCACCATAGCCATCGAGATGCGAGACCTCTCACAGGAGTGTTTACATTAAAATAAACGCACCACTCACTCAGTGCCTGTATTTTAACCGATGAGTACAGGGCTTTAATTAAATGGGGTATAGCTTTGAATACATGCGTCAAAGATTTGCAAATGTTATTGTATTCACATTACATCTACTTTAATCAATTACGCAGTTTGATATATGTGGTTTATTTGGATTAATTAGACGAAGTTGTATTGTAAGTTGTAGTTAGAGTGCGTAGCTCACAATCAGAAGGTTGTGACATCAAATGCCAGAAGGGGGTCGACACTACTTATCATCCCTTCAGGTAAAAAAAAGGCATACCATTTCACGGGAAGTCAGCAGTGGTTATTATATGGAAAAACTGGCCACTACCATCATAAAGAGACACTTCCACTGTTGGCTCAGGCCTAGGCAATAGCTATGAGCAACACCTCATTGCTGGTTTGGGCATGGAGACACTTTGCCTTGGCTTTGATGTGAATGTTGTCAATTTATTATCTTTCATTTACATTAAGAAAATAGTTTTGAGATCAAACTTTTAATTCTGAAACCTACCACTTATCGGCTATTGTATAATTATTTCTGCAATATGTTTTGAAACCATGTACGTAAAGTTTTTGCAGATTAAATAATATATTATTATCCTCAGGGTCAATTTTTACAATGTTTTCACTTTTTAAAGTCAAAATTTTCCTGCTCAAATGAGCATGGGCAGAATCAATATCTAATGTCGGCATGGAGCCACCAAAGGAAATTACACATTCCTATGCCAGAGATAATCTATTGACTTCCAACAAGAGTTTCGATTTAAAGCTTTCGTGACTGCAATGATTCATCTTCTTTGGTTCTTTCGTTTCTCACGAAACGTCGTGAAAATATTATTGTGTTATGTTATTTTATTTTATCAATTTATTATTTTATTCTCATTCTACGTGACTTTACCGAAAGAACCAAAGAAGATTCCAACGAGAGGTACTTGTTTTTATTAGCCCTGGAGGAGTGGTGAGCTGAATCAACACTCAACCGGGATCTGAACTCATCACTATCTCATTGTGAGTCGAGCGCTGTAACCACAGTGCCACCTCGCCGGATACATTTTAAGATTAGAAAAATCAAATGAGATTAGAAGAACGACTGTGCGGTTTATTTCTCGCTCAATCTGTCGCCACCGTTCGGGGAAATGGAACAACAGGAGTAGTATCACCCCGGATGTAGCCATAACACGTCTGGCCCAAGAGCCACGAGTGACGCACAACAGCTGTTGAAACAAAGCGAACGCTGTTTTTTCGCATCGGCCCGCAGCAGACGAAGTTAGCAGCCTAGCAAGGAATGCCGCAGGGTCCGCAGCAGACTGGCAGCAGGGCTCGTTTGAAAAGCTCGCAGAAAAGATATGCCCCGCAGCGAAAAATAATTGGTGGATCGGCTGTAACATTACCCTGTGCTCTATGCAGCAGCACACCCGAACAGGTCTAGCATTTCAGGCTTTGCTCTTTTGTGGCCTCGGTCAGATTCCTTTGATTGGGACTGACAGCCGTTATCAGATCCATGTGAAACAAACCATGACTTGACGCTTGCGTAAAGGGGGTGGGGTTTTGCTGCCTGCGGGGACTTTGAATGAACAATTGCATGGCCAAAACTTGTTCCGCATTTATCCTGTATGATGCAAATGCGATTTTCAAAGCATATTTGATACTATGCTATATAGGTAGGCAATAGGTTAGCGAAATGTGGCAGCAGCTAAGAACCAGAATATACAGGAAGTAATTCAACATAACACTGTAATCAGATGCCCAAAGGCAGGTGTTAATAATGCTATTTTTATTCTAGATTTGAAGCTTTCGTGACTGCAAGGATTCATACTCTTTGGTTTTATTCGGTAAAGTCACGTAGGTAAAATAAAACAAAAGAAAATAATTAAATCACGACGTTTCGGAGGCAACATAAGCTTCCGTCTTCAGGTGGAAAAGTCAACGCAGAAACGTCATGATTTAGCTATTTTTATTGTTTCTAAATATTTTTTTTATTTAGGCCTCAATTTGTAAAAGCCAGGATTACTGTCAATTTCTACTATGTGTACTAGATGTTTTAAGTCTACAAAGGGGAATTGAAATGCATTGATCTTCAAGAATATGATGAATAGTATTGTATGTGGTCTACGGTAGGGAAAGCTTTCCCAAAACCTGCTTGCCCACGTGTTTGGCTGGCTTGTAATTTGTTCATTATTTTGTTCCAAATGATATTCTTAAACAATTTATACACGTGTGATAAGAAGCTAATGAGTCTACAGTTTTTCAAGTCAGTTTCAGCTCCCATATTGAATGAAAGAGCAAGTAAGGCATCATTCTGTTGTTGTGGCATTTCATTTATCCATGAACATTCATCAACAAATCTGCAAATTGTGTTTCAGCAGTTGGTGTCCCCTTCGTTGATGATGTTCAATGTTATGGCATTCGGTCCAGAAGCTTTTTCATATTTGAATGGGCAGAGATGACTTGTTTAAAACTTCCTCCTCATCCTGAGAGATGATCTTATTCCCGAGCTAAATGCATGTTTATGCTACAGAGATCTGCATAAAATGACTCAACGAATTTTAAGATTCTATCTCAGTGAGTTAATATTCCATCCAATTCCCAAAGGGCTACCATTGTGAACTGCCAATCATCAACCTCCATTTTGCCGATATGATCCCGTAACTTGTTATGACGTCCTCAATTATTTCTCCGAGTTGTGCTCCACAATTTGTTTTCATTTGCTTCCTAATTATTTTACAGAGTTCTGTGTATTCAACCTTCAGTCTCGCATATCCGTGCCTTTGATATTTCTCAACATGTCTTTTATGATTTCAGACAACTTACTCTGTTTGGTTAAGAATCCTTCCCCTCACTAGTAGTGTATTGGAATGTAAAAGTGAATGTATTAATTAATAGTGACATCTATGTCATCAATGTGATTATCTAGGCATAGGAATGTGTTACTTTGCATTAACATGAAACCTACAATCAGCTAGCAGATGCCTAAGATTTTATATATGCCATCTTATAATTGCCTGAAGTTAGTTTTGCCCTCTTTGGCCATATTGGATCACACCCAGTCTGTGTTCACTTCCTGTGAAGACAGAAATGCTTCAATCTGGGATTTGTCTGTTAGAATCAAGTCACTCTCATTCCTAAAGTCGCGATCCGAGCTTCTCAATATCCGTCTCTTTGATTCCTTATTTTTCATATATAATTCACAATTACATCTTAAAATTCCTACCATTCAGCGTGCGTCATAATGTAGGCGGGGTAATGGGGCTCCCACCTTGTCAATGCAGGGAATCTCCAGTGTGGCCTTGGATTAGTGTTGGAGCAGCATGGGTGCTTCAAGAGCACAGCTGTATGACGCAGTAACAGCGTGTCACCTAATCTCGGGAAGCACCGCGTGTCCGATAACGACTCCGACACTTTCCTCTTTATTTGCACACAAGTAGCCACGTGCTACCCATTAAGAGTTTGTATTCCAGTACTGTCTCTAGATGGCGCTAAGGCAGAACACCTCAAATGCCACTTGGCTGTGACTTTATATTCTCTTTTCTCATTTATGAAGCCTCAGATGGGTGTCAGGCAGACCAAGATACACAACCTTGGTATGCAACTATAAAAAAGGCAATGTCTTATTTTAAAAGATAAAAGGCCACTCACGGCTTCAAAATCTAACTTTACCTTTTGCAGACTGACGTCCCAGTTATGCAGCACGCGCCCGGGGATGAGGACGAGATCGTCTGCGTGGCAGTGCACGCAGTAGTAGCGCCGACTGTAGGAGCACACCTTGGCTTTACCATAGCAGAAACCGATCTCCCGGCCGCAACCTATATGAGAATTAAAGGAACGGGGGGGGGGGGGGGGGAGAGTAGCCAGTGTTATGGAGTCCATAGAAGCAATGACTGCCAAGCACGAAAATCGGTATGGATGTGCTTGCTGTATGCGTGCTTGGAGAGCTGGGCATGCATGCTTGCAGCCAAGTGCTTTGCTGGCACGGTTTGTGGATCCCGCAGAGGTCGTCATGTGCCTAAGATGCTCATCACATAGCTGCTGACTTGCTGCAGTTGAGAACCTGGTTTAATAACCAGGGGCTAAAACCTGAATTTGAGCTCAAAATCTCGGTGGTGCCAAGTTAGTACTGTACAGGTACTCTGAAAGTGGAATAAAATGTCTAATTGTATTCCTTAGTGGGCTGATGTCTTTGAACTCACTGCAATCTCACTGTACTTGTGAACCTAGATTAATTCTGAAGGGCTGCATACATTGAAACTCAGCAGTGATGCCTTGAAGCTTCAACACAAGCACGAACTACCCGAGCCATTAGACTATTTGAATTTAGCTCCACATGGAAATAAATATGCTCATTTAGTGTCATTATCATTAGAGACATCAATATATTAGGTAAAATGGGCTGTTTTATATAGCTCTCATTGCAGTTATTTATCCTGTTTGCATTTTTAATAGACAACTGCTCTTGAAATAAAATAAATATGATTATTCCAGCTGAGAAAACCTGGTAAATTGGGATTTATGGACATGCATTCACTGATGGCACACCAGAGATGAAAATTACACAGAACTGTTCAAAATACACAAAACATTAAAAATGCACAACAATTAAATATCTCCTTTTCAGACAATTATTATTTAGAACACTCATTCTACAGATGATATTGTCACTTCAGAAAATTAAGCTAAAGTGATTGTGCGCTTAAAAAAACAGTATGAAAGAAAATGACATCGTCAACAATATAATGGTTTTTATAATGTTTTAAATATTCAAAACACCATTTACAACTAGCAATTGATTTGAAACAAACTTAAACGTGCACCACAATATGAATTGACTTGCAATGGTGGCACTTCCAATTTTCATAGATGAATCATCCAACATATGAATCATCCATGAACACCAGTAAGATGCATCATATTGTGCCGCGTCAAATAAAATGCAAATGCACTTGTGCGTATAATGCTTATAAACGATGTGAGAAAAGTGTTTATCCACAGCACTGTCGGCACATCTATCTCCGCTACCTGACAGACTACACGAACAATCAAATGTGCCTTATTCTTTTTTATATCGATCCATGTGGCACTGTGATAAGTATTTTTATTTTGGAGGTCAACTTGGTGCACAACCACTCTGGATTCAGACAAACGAGTGCCTCTGTGGGAAATGAACAGTTGATATTATCACAGTTCTTGGTTCATTCGGTAAAATCACGTTGAAGGGAAACATTAAAATAAAAAATATATGAAACAATAGAATTCTCACGACTCTAGATTTGAAGCTTTCGTGACTGCAAGGATCCATACTCTTTGGTTCTATTTGGTAAAGTCACGGTAAGTCACGGTAAAGTCACCTACGTGAATTTACCGAATAATTCTCACGACGTTTCGACTGCAACACAAGCAATCATCATCAGGTGTGCTTGTGTTGCAGTCGAAACGTCGTGAGAATTGTATTGTTTTATATATTTTTTATTTTATTGTTTCCCTTCTACGTGACTTTACCGAAAGAACCAAGAATATGAATCCCTGCAGTCACGAAAGTTTTAAATCAAAATTCTCACAGTTGCTCAGGGCTGCCAATATTTATGAGCACTGCCCCCTAGGCTCGTTTGAGTAGGGAGAGGTTTCTCACTTTTTATGGTTAAAACAAATAATCGGCAATCCAGCAATTATATTCACTATTAAAAAAAGGCACTTGAAAAAAAAATGTGATGCTTAAGCCAACACTCAACCAGAGCACAAAAACGTTATTTTCATGCCATGAAAAACATGTTCAATTAATATGGTAATGTTTTAAATGAGCCTACATACAGCTGCTCAGGCACAATATTTGCCATCTCTAATAAACACGCTCAACTGTCACTTGAAATGATGGAGATATCTGTGCTGAGACAAAAACACAGTAAAACTGTACACTCGACTATTTGTATTATTTAAATATTCTTCACACATTATTTGCCAAAGATAAAAAAATATAACACCTCGGTGACAGCCAAATAATGCATTTATCAAGGAACAAACGGCTCACATTCTAGAGCTTACTAGCAGGAAGTAGCCGGCATAGCCCGGGCGAATCTTTTTTCGTCAAAACTCATCTTAATAACCTTACATATACAAACACAGATACTAAGCTATTTTTAAAGGCCGGTGGACCGTTTGTCCATTTCTTCACCAACAAAATTATAAGAGGCTTGCAGAAGTCCAAAAAGTTATAGAAAGCGGGGGGTAAATAGTTGATATAAAAGGTTTCCAAAAATTATCGCCCCCCCTTAAAAAATGTGTACCCCAGCATGTATATATACGTACACACCCTACATACAACAGAGCAAGTAGTATTGTTATTGACTCTGTAGTTGTATCAACTGACTGTACAGGAGTATGTAGTGAGCCAGTAGTAGCTACTGAACGTAGTTATATCTACTGGCCCTACAGTACTATATACTGACTGTAGTAGTAACTACTGACCATAGTAGTATCTACCGGCCCTACAGTAGTATCTACCGACTCTATAGTAGTAAAAAACTTGATCTGAAGCCTTCGTGACTGCAGGAATTACTCTTTGGTTCTTTCGGTAAAGTCACGTAGAAAGAAAATCAATTAAATAATAAAATACGTTTCAAATGCAACACAAGCAATCGTCATCAGGTAGAAAACAAACCGAGTGAACTTAGAAATACAATGCAATTCAACACAGAGAGTCGGCTAACACAACAGTCAACATCCTACCTGGTTGATTAACGTTCTCCCAAAGATTGCTACATTTGAGAGAGACAAAACACAGACACGGAGACACACAGACAGACACACAAGCAGAGAGAGACAACAGAGACACATAGAGACACAGAACATAGACACACAGGGAGAGACACACACATAGACACACAGAGACCCAACGCCTCTGTGTCGAGGCCTTAAATAGAGAGAGAGAGGGGCGGGGCAAAGAGAGAGGTGGGTCACACTTAACTTCTAATTGAGCAATCTTTGGGGAACGTAATGAACCAGGCTATGCATTAACTGTGTTAGCCGACTCTCTGTGTTGCATTGCATTGCATTACATTTCCAAAAATTTGCTAAGTTTGTTTTCTCAAACTGCCTATTTCTCTCTCTAAAATTTAACCAGGCTCTCATAGATCCATTCGCTTTCTCTCCCCAGGCCGCTGCGGGGTGGATTTCCACACAACTCTCTCTAATATTTACCAGGCTTGTTGGGTCTTTTTCTCCCCCGGCTGCCGTGGGGTGGATTTCCACACAGCTCTCTCATTGACATGCTAATTTCTCTGCTCCAGCAGACCCACCTCTCTTTCTGCACCCCCCCCCCCACCTCTCTCTCTATTTAAGGCTTCGACACAGAAGCGTTGGGTCTCTGTTTGTCTATGTTGTGTGTCTCTCTCTGCTTGTGTGTCTGTCTGTGTCGTCTCTGTGTCTGTGTTTTGTCACTCTCTCAAATTTAGCAATCTTTGGAAGAACGTAATCAACCAGGTAAGGTCCTGACTGTTGTGTTAGCCGACTCCCTGTGTTGTATTGCATGGTATTTATAAGTTCACTAGGTTTGTTTTCTACCTGATGACGATTGATTGTGTTGCAATCGAAACGTTGTATTCTATTATTTGATTTTCTTGCTATAGTAGTAACTACTAACTCTATAGTAGTATCTGCTGACTCTATAATAGTATCCACTAACTACAGTAGTAACTAGTAACTGAATAGCAGTATCTAGTGACTCTACAGTAGTATCCACTGACTCTATAGAAGTAGCTACTGACCGTAGTAGTATCTACTGACTGAATATTAGTATGTATTGACTGTAACAGTATTTACTGACCGTAGTGGTATATACTGACTGTTTTACTATCTACTGACTCTATATAGCGGTATCTACCAACGCAATAGCAGAATCTACTATCACTACAGCAGTGCATAGCGACTGTGGTGGTACCTGCTATCACTACAGCAGTGCATATCGACTGTGGTGGAACATGGTATCATTCCAGCAGTGCATACCGACAGTGGTGGTACCTGCTTCCACTACAGCAGTCCATACTGTGGTGGTGCTGCTATCACTACAGCACTGCATACTGACTGTGGTGGTATCCTGCTTTCACTACAGCAGTGCATACTGTGGCGGCACCTGCTATGATTACAGCACTGCATACTGACTGTGGTGGTACCTGCTATCACTACAGTAGTATATGCTGACTCTATAGCAGTATATAGACTATAGCACAAAGTAATCACCTGACAAAATGGCGTGGTGAGGCCTAGTCCCGTGCAGAGTCCCCGGCCTCGCCTAGATTGCCCAGCCGGCCAAGGTGGCACCTTGGCAGGCTGGGGGCTGGGCCGCTACCCCAGCCCCCCCCATCATCCACCCACCCGCGCTACAATAATACTATCTAAGCGCTATAATATTATTATCTACGGACTCTATAGTAGTAACTGCATGCATCAGGATTGGGGGGGGAGAGAAGAGGACAGTACACTGAAGAATTTACCTCAGCGTTTTGTGTTGTTTAACAGCATTTTTAAAGCGAAATAAAACTTCCCCCTCACCCCCACCGAACGCGTGTGACTTGGCAGGGGCCGTCCCCCCCACCGAAGGCGTGCGAGTTGGTATGGTCGAGCGCACGTAATAAATAAAGATAAATCGATAATTAAACTACTTTTAAGTTGACGGATGAGAAAACGGAATACCGCTTGCTCACCACGGGGCTTACGGCGTGGTACCTGGCTATTTTTTTTCAAGTAAACCCCACCGTTTGAGAGCCAAATCCTTTGCAAGCGTGCGAACACACACACAGACAAAAACATGACATTT